GTCTGGGACTAGAGTCCAGAACCACCACTTTCTAAGCACTTTTCTTCTCTCTCTGCTGTTTTTGCAGGCATTATCGCTCTGCCCATGTGGAAACACCTTCCTACACAGGGGGTGTCAGTGAGGAGTTTTGGGAACGCAGTCGGCAGCGGGAAAAGGAGCGTCGGGAGCAAGGTGTCTTTGCCTCCTCTAAGGAGGAGAAGGAACGAAAGAAGGAACGCAGTAAGGATCGGGATCATGACCGCAAACGGGACCGAGGTAACTGCTCTGAGGTCTTTGTGACTCTTTGTGCTCAGGACGTTTGGGCTTGTTCTTCGGCATTTTTGTAGTTCTTGTCTAATCTTCAGGGAGTCGTCTAGGGCTGGCCTGGGAAACCTGTTTATGCACTGAGCACCTAATCATAGAACCACAGAATGCTGAAGGTCGGAAGGGACCTCTCGAGGTCATCTAGTCCAACCCCTGCACACGCAGGGTCACCTAGAGCACGTGGCACAGGACTGCGTCCAAGCGGGTTTGAAGATCTCCAGAGAAGGAGACTCCACAACCTCTGTGGGCAGCCTGTTCCAGTGCTCTGTCACCTTCACTGTTAAGAAATTTTTCCTTGAGTTCCTGTGGAACTTTTGGTGTTTCAGTTTGTGGCCATTACCTCTAGTTCTGATATGTAGATATTGTCTCCAGTTCCGTCTTGCTGACTCAAAAGCAGCAGCTGCAGTAACACTGTATATCGATGCCCCCTGCACACTGCAGCAGAGGAGACTCACACAAAGCACAGCTGCTTTTCTATGGACACGATTAATGATGTGGATGTATGTTCAAATGGCATCTTTGACATCTAGGTGTCAGGAAATAACATGAACTGGGTAGCTTGAATAAAATAAAAATGTCTATGTATGAAATACATGAAATTCTGTTGTGTGGCACTACATATTTAGCTAAACATGTAGCAGAGTGCGACATTATTTTCTGCTCTATAGGATACTTATTTTATTTTCTGTCCACAGAGGAGCGGGACAGAAGTCGTCACAGCAGCAGATCAGAGAGGGATGGTTCATCAGAGCGGAGCAGCAGGAGAAGTGAACCAGAGAGTCCCAGGCATAGACCCAAAGGTAGGAGTGAGAACTGGTCTGGTTGGGTTTTCATTGAACCTTTACAGGAAGGGTTTTATTCTTGCTTTAGATCTGCTGTATTTCTCAGTGCAAGTGTGGATAACAACATCTGTGTTTTTTAAGGTCTGTGGTTAGGGCAAGCATAAAGGTGCTGGCTTTTCCTGGATATGGGTCTGGGATTGATCCTGCCAGTTGTGTGGGGAAGCCTGGTTGATCCCGGGTCTCTGGGGGTCTCTTTTGGGTCTGTGTGACATGGATGTGGCCCTGTGTTCATTTTCCTTGGGCAGGGACAGCACTATCTCCTAAAGAGCAAGTGGGTACATTGTCTCCATGCTTCTTGCTGGAGGGTATAAGGTGGCTCCAGGTGCCCTGGGCCACTGTATGAGTATCAGGTGTCTATCTCTGTCTCTTCTAGATGCGGCCACGCCGTCTCGCTCCGGCTGGGAGGAAGAGGATAGTGGCTACAGCAGTACTCGCCGCTCACAGTGGGAATCTCCCTCGCCTACACCTTCTTATCGGGACTCCGAGCGCAGCCACAGGGCATCGTCCACGCGAGACACCGATCGAAGAGATCGGGACAGGTATTGCTGCCTGGAACAGAGGGCTGTGAGGGGGTGGAAGGGGGAGAGCGTGTGTAAGAGCAGTAACTGGCAGTGGGCATTAATTCTTCTTTCCCAATGTTTCCCCAGGTCTGTGAGGAGCAGGTACTCGGATAAGACACCGTTGCCCACCCCATCGTACAAGTATAATGAGTGGGCTGATGACCGGAGGCACCTGGGGGCCACACCACGGCTGTCCAGAGGGAAAGGTGAGGAGCAGGGGCTGCGCTGCCTGGATGGGGCCTGGTTAATCCTCCTCCTCACTGCCTGCAGCACAAGGAAAGGGGCTGCAGGGCACCCTGCAGGAGTGGCAGGGCAGTGGGGCTGGGGGCTGCGCTGACCAGTTTGCTGTCTCTAGGGCGGCGTGAGGACGGGGAGGAGGGAATTGCCTTTGAGACAGAGGAGGAGCGGCAGCAGTGGGAGGATGACCAGCGGGTAAGAGCCCGGCCGAGAAGGGGAAGAGCCGGGTGCGGGTCCGCAGCGAGGGCGGCCGCTGCGCTGGGGCCATCCGTGGTGCGCGGGCTCCCCCGGGCGGCGAGATGGGGAGGGGCGG